AGACATCTTTACAAAAGGGCTAAACCATTCCAAACACCAAGATCTCTGTGACAAGTTGGGCATGATTGATATCTATGCCCCAACTTGAGGGGGAGTGTTGACAGATGTATTGTATATACTGTACACAGGTTTAGTGCCCACAGGGGTATTTTTGTAATTTTGTAGACCTCTTGTATTGTACGGCCAGTATAGTATAAATACAAATGCTTCACTCGCATGAAGCAGTTCTTTTGAGGCCTTAAGTCTGCAGTCTCTTCTCTTCTTCTTCTTCTTTTGCTCAACATCCATCAACAACGATATTGATTATCTTACAGCAAAATCATATTTCAGATAAACATATGTGGCCCTTAACCATCTGATATGTACTTCCAAGAAGGATCTTTTTGTTCACTTTGGGCTACCTTTGGATACTTTTTTAAGTACCACTTTCTAATATACAATTATAAATTTGCAAGAGGAATGAAAAAAAAAATTCTGGGAAATGTGGGCCATGTTGGGCTAGCATGGTCCACTTTTCTCGTGCAGCATGCCAGAGTGGGGAGGGGGGCCAGCATGGACCTGGGCCTGTGCTGGTCTGAATTTTTTTTATTGAGGAAAATACACACACACACATGCACATATTATATACATATTATTAATGTTAGCCATGGTTGGCCTGGCCCATTTTATACCTCTATTGTCTTGCGGTGATAAAATAATAAGTTTTGTATGTAAGTTGCATGAAGAGTCAAGAAATGAGATACAATTACAAGAGCAAGGAGTATGTATACTCAAAAAGTTGTACGAAGGACCTGACAGTCTGACAGAAGTGTATGTGTTTCGAGGACAAAAAAACAAATAAATATGATCATTACTAACCATTTATTTTTCTCATTAATGAGAGATCTCAAATTCTGATTGGCTCCATATTGCATAGTTTGAACAGTGTCTGACAACTGAGTATTTGGTATTTTAATATCTATTCCAATTTTCTTAGCTCTTCTTGTATAATTAATGGCTCTAAACCACTTTTTTTCCTTCTTAAACCATCTTATGTGATACCCATATTTTTTCATTAAATAACTCACTTTGTTTCACTCGTCTAAATTGCCATACTGTTTATGCCTTTTTCTTACTTCTTTCACCAAGAATAGTGAAATAAGGAAGTTCAATAGAAAAAGTAAACAAAGTAGGCTTGGAAAAACTGGACCACCAGAAGTTGGAAGCTGTTGGGTTTTGACAATGAAGAATCCAAATATCACTTCCTAAGTACCTCCTACCATTTTACATGGGGAGGATGAAACAATGGTAAAACCAGGACCAAACTGGCAACTTGACCCAGAAAGCCAGAACCCAGCCATCAATCTGGTTTGCGTTGATTATTGGATTGTTAATGATTGAAAACTGATTTGACCTATACAACTTGTCCAGTTTTTCTACAATTTGTAACCTGTTTGGATTTTCTGTGACTCATACAAGCTTTGTTTTCCCTTTGAAGTTTGAAAACCAAATCATTGTTATTGGAAAGGTTCAAAGCTTCTTTAAAAGCTTTAAGGACATGCTAAACAAGAACATAACCAACAAATATAAAATTTGCACTGTCAAAACTTAAAGATTTTTAATCACAAAAGACAATCATAAAAATAAATAAATAAATAATGGAACCTGGCACAATGTTGTCAAAATCTGATTTCTGATACAATTCACACTTTGAACCATGAATTCCATGGGTTTTGATTTGAATCTTATGTCTGAATCCTTTTATGTAAAAATAATATCCTATGATTTGATTTATGAATCTTACGATTTATATGATTCATGCAATTCAAATCAATTCAATTGAGGATTAATTCTCTACTTTGACATTCTTTATTTCTAAGTAGTTTTGTCAAGGGGGATTTTTTCAAGGCCCTTGCTAGAAAATAATTTATTTATGTTATTTAAGAACATTTAAAAATGATAATGAATTTATTTCCCATCATATGTAGGTTAATTGTATTTAAATTATTTTCCTTTCAAGTTAAACTTGACAATAGCATCTTAGGTATTGCTAAAGTCTTGGCTGGTAGGTTGAAGACTGTACTACCCTATATTATCTCTCAGAACCAAGGAGCTTTTGTAGAGGGGAGACAAATTGCGGATCATATTTTAGTGGCAAATGAGTGTGTGGCAGCTAAGAGAAAACAAGGTGACAAAGGTTTGATTTGTAAATTGGACCTTGAAAAAGCTTATGATATGGTGGATTGGTYCTTCCTGTTGAATTTAATGGAAAAGATGGGGCTAGGTGAAAGATGGAGGATGTGGATTAAAGAATGTATTAGCTCAGCACATTTTCTATTCTGATGAATG